GGTCCTAAACCCTGATCTCCTAACCCGTAAACCCTAAACCCTGAACCCTAAATCCCATATCCTGAAGCCCAAATCCCAAACCCCCAAGCCCTAAACTCTATACCCTAAACCCTAAACCCCAAACCCTAAACCCTCAGCCTTCAGCCCGAAGCTGCCAGTCGAAACGCTGCAGCCACAGGGGTCGTTCTCTTTTTTAGGGTCCCTTTTGGTGTCCTTAGGGTTTGGGGTTTAGGGTTTAGGGTTCAGGGATGTAGGGTTTTGGGTTTAGGGTGTTTAGGGTTTAGGGTTTAGGGTGTCCTTTTTATAGAGGTTCCGTACCATATGGGGGACCTAAAAAGGGACCCTTATGCAGAGAGTTGCCCACATAACTTACAAGCTTTGATCATCGGTAGTACTTTTAAGTCTGGGGGTTTGGGGTCCTTGTTCTAATCAGACTACAATCTAACCCAAACCCTGCACTAGCTTGATCCTTGGACTCGGATATGTGGGCTTGCGGTCTTTTTTTACCATGCGGAGACCCACGACGCAGTCCGATGTATGTTGATTTGTGACTGTGCCGGAACATGAGGTTTCACGGTGTATGCTGGGAGCTATTCAGGGTTCTACAAGGGTTGAGGGTTTGAGGCTTTGTGCTTTGGGACTTTACGTAGGTTTGAAGTTTTGCGGCTTTTGGACTTCTAGGGTTCAGGGTTAAGCACAGTCTCAACAGCATGCACCGAACAACATAGCTCTCAGCCCAAAGTTGCAGCGACTGCCCGGTTGCATGTTGTCGTTGGAGACACTTAGAAGTTGACTCTCATTGGGCTCAAGTGCTGCAGTCAGGGTAGATTCAACGATGTTGCGAATTCGATCGGTTTCAGGTGAGGTCCTCGTCGCGATTGACTTGGCGAGCTTCCTCGGGGAACTCGCGCCTCATAGCTATCCTGTCCGAGTTCTGAAGCAACGCTTGGAAGGCTTTTGCGGGCAACCAAGATTCCGACAGCGACTGGTCTTCTTGGATGATGGCGCATTGATGAACGACGATGACGAGCTCATCTTGAGAGCAGGCGAAGCTCAACTGTTGGTTCTACACTTCAGGCGTCGGACTTGTCATCCGCACATACTTCTGCTACACAACAGCCCAAAACCCTGTTCTAATCATGAAGGCCACTATATATTACGCGCCTACACCTATATTTACCCTTATCCAGAACCCTTCCCTAAACCCCAAACCTTAAACCCGAAACCTTAAACCCGAAACCCAAAACCCGAAGCCCTAAACCCTAAACCCAAAACCCGAAACCCGAAACCCTAAACCCTAAACCCCTAAACTCTGAACTACACCCTAACCCTGATTACACTGGAGGCCGGCATCTGAAGAGCAGGTGACGGAGCTCCGGTCTGCTGCCGCGAAGGGATTGACATCCGCCGTGGAGCATCTTAGGCTTTGGCTTATACAAAAAGGGTGTGGGGTTTAGGGGTGTAGGGTTTATGCTTTTAGGGTTTTTGGGGTGTGGGTGTAGAACAGTTTGTATCTTCAGTTTAGTATGAAGAAGGAACTATTCAAACAGCAATTCTTGCGTCCAAGAACAGCCCAGGCACATTCTGCGAAGACCGCAAGACCCAGACTTAGGTTGTCCGACACCGCTGTTCGAGGCATCTAGACACGGCCATTTGGAGCTGGCCCGCCTATTGCTGGAGGCCAAGTCTGAGATAGACAAGGCTGTACAAAATGGTACCACGCCACTGCTCATTGCTGCTCATGAAGGACAACTGGAGGTTGCGTGCCTTTTGCTGGAGGCCAAGGCTGACAAGGACCTGGCCAAAAATGATGGCGTCACTCCTTTGTTCGTTGCAGCTCATGCGGGCCAATTGGAGGTTGCGCGCCTTTTGCTGGAGGCCAATGCGGACAAGGACAAGGCCAAGCATGATGGCTCGACCCCATTGTTCATTGCAGCTGGTGTCGGGGACTTGGAGGTTACACGCCTATTGCTGGAGGTCAAGGCTGACAAGGACAAACCCAAAAATGATGGCGCCATTCCTTTGTTCGTTGCAGCTCAAGGGGGGCAAGTGGAGGTTGCACGCCTTTTGCTGGAGGCCATGGCTGACAAGGACAAGCCCAAAGGTGATGGCGCCACTCCTTTGTTCGTTGCAGCTCAATTGGGGCAATTGGAGGTTACACGCCTTTTGCTAGAGGCCAAGGCTGACAAGGACAAGGCCAAGCATGACGGCTCGACCCCTCTATTGGTTGTAGCTTATGCTGGGCAATTCCAGGTGGCACGCCTCTTGCTGGAGGCCAAGGCTGACAAGGACAAGCCGAAAAACGATGGCGCCACCCCTTTGTTTGCAGCAGCTCAGAAGGGACAATCGGAGATTGCTCGTCTTTTGATTGCGGCCAAGGCTGACAAGGACAAGGCCACGACTGACGGCGCCACCCCTTTGTTCATTGCAACTGCTTGCGAGCAATTGAAGGTCCTTCATCTACTCCTGGAGGCAAAGGCTGACACGGACAACTCCACAAATACCGGTGTCACCCCTCTGCTCTCTGCAGCTGCAGGAGGACAATTTGAGGTTGTGCGCCTCTTGCTGGATGCCAAGGCTGACAAGAACAAAAGCATGTTTTATGGGGGGGCTACATGGGCTACACCTCTGCGCGTTGCAGCTGAAGGAGGCCACCTGCAGGTTGTGCAACAATTGCTCGACGCCAAGGCTGATGTGGACAAGTCGCAGGACGATGGTGCCACCCCTTTGTGAGGGTCAACTGGAGGTTGCACGCTTTTTGCTAGAGGCTGAAGCTGATAGGGACAAGGCGCTGGATGACGGCGTGACCCCTTTGTTCGTTGCAGCTTATGTCGGGCACTTTGAGGTTGCACGCCTCTTGCTTGATGGGAAGGCTGACAAGGACAAGCCCACAAATCATGGCGCCACTCCTTTGCTGGTTGCAGCTCAAGGTGCGACCCCTCTGTTCGTTGCGGCTTACGTGGGGCAGTTGGAGACCTTGCGTCCTTTGCGAGAGGCCAAGGCTGACAAGGACACGGCCACCTGTGCGTGAGCAGCTACATTAGTATTGGTGCATCTTTTCGGTGATTTCGGTGTATGCGTGGAACAGGTCCGCATGTGAAGGCCCTAAACCCTAAACCCAAAACCCGAAGGCCCTTGTGCAGTTATCGGCCGAAAGGCTGGGCCAGCGTTGCACAGGCTGGAGAAAAGTTGGGGCACTCGCCGAGTCGAATCCCTTGCCAGGATCGAGATGCCGCAACAGCTGTTATCAGCAATTCTGTCATCCTAAACCCTAAACCCTAAAGCCCTAAAACCCTAAAGCCCTAAACCCCTAAAGCCCTAAACCCTAAGCCCTAAACGTTGTCGGGCTCACGAAGCGCAGGGTCGCGAGACGGCTCTATCGACAGGAGCGCTGCGAAGAGGGCGATGCCAAGACTCCAACGACCCCAAGCCACCTGAACTTCAGGCCCCAAATACTGAAGCCTACAGAACTATCAAAGTTATCCCTGAGGATTCCGCATCATAACTTTCGCATGATATACGGCAAAGGCTCTTCTAAACTACTGAGTTATTAAGTCCTCTTCTAGTAGCCCTTCTAGATCCCTTCAAAGGACAGCTATTCTGATACCAGGAGCTCTTATATTGAGTTCTGCAGCCGCTTTCCCTAAACCCTAAACCCTAAGGCCTTATATTGAGTTCTGCAGCCGCCTTCCCTAAACCCTAAATCCTAAATCCTAAAAACCCTAAACCATAAAAGCCCTATAAGCCCTAAACCCTAAACCCTAAACCCTAAACCCTACAAGCCCTAAACCCTTACATTGACTTCAGCCGCCTTCCTCGCTCCCCAGGATGCTGGACTCCAGTTCCTGGTGGCCGCCTCCCGGGCAAACGTGGGCGTGAAATCCGGGAGGCGTCGGGTTTTGGGGTTTAGGGCGTAGGGTTTTAGGGTTTAGGGTTTAGGGTTCCGTAAAGGGTCCTATGTACTGTTATGGGGGATATACCGGTACTTTGGACCCTTTGGGTTCGGGGTTTTAATATAGGGGTCTGAATCATTACCTATACTATTTTGGGGGTTCCTTGTTATGATTATGGTATAATGGGCCCCAAAAGCTTATTCCAATTATTAAGGCCCCTATATTAGGCTGTAGGGTTCTAAAATACCCCCAAACCCTAAGGGGGTTTACAAGCCTTGATTGTTCTGAGCTCGTGGCTTTCCTGACGGTCTTGAGCTCAGGGTGTTGGGGCGGTGGATATCTTCAAGTGCTGCTCAGCTAGCACCCTAAAACCCTAAAGCTCTAAAAGAATCCTTTCTCAAATTATTGCTGCTACCAGAAGTAAGGCCCCTTCATAAGCCAAACCCCTAGACCCCTAACCGCCCTATAGCAGGTACCTCTTCGAGGTCCGGGTGGTGGAGGTGCTGCTCCCGGCCATCCCAGGCCAAGCTCGGTAGCCTAGTGATACCCTTAATCTTGTTTGTTGAGCTCTCCCTGAAAGCCGACTTTTAGAAGCAGAAGAGAAGACTCTGTTTTTTTGTGGGCCTAGTGGGGAATCGACTGAATTTTGATCCTAGATGTCGAGTCTTAGGATTGCTGGCTCAGGCTTCAGAACTTCAGAAGCTAGGGGGCACCAAATCTTGGAGTGCTTGACTGATTAATGCTTAGGTAGACTTCATGATTAGACTATTCCCCTAAACATCCTACGCCTGACAATAATGCTTTATTGCCGAGACTGTGATCCCTTCATCAGGGGGTAGCCTGGCGAATTAGTTATAGCATGACCAAACTATACGATAACCCCCAAGGCTATTAAACTTATTAAGGCCTCTAAATTGACAGCAAGAAGCTGAACACCATCACTTTTCGGCACCCTAAACATCGCTGACCACACAACCTCTAAACCCTAAACTTTCAACCGTGGGGAACACCAGGTGGCCGAATGAACCCCATCGCGCCGATCCCGACACGAAGCTGCATCATGAGAGGACCCTCGAGATTTTTCAAGGTTTAGCACAAAGAGTTTAACTAGTAGAGTTTGTGGTGTTTGGGTTTCGGAGTGGATCTAATTATAGGTTTAAGAGGACGAGCTTCTCGCAGTTTTGTCTTTGTTGGGGCTTATGGACTCCGCTTATCACATTCTGAACCCTGGGCCCACGACCCATAAACCTTATGAGATAGTCGCTCATGGTGAGCGCGCACAGGGGTCCTCAGGAGCGCTGTTAGGTGGCTTGATGGGAAGGGATACTTGCGAGAAAAACCGTGCTATAGGGGCCTAAATAATTATTTACACTACTTTAGGGGTTCCTTATTATAAGTATAGTATACTAGGCCCCAAAACCCTATTGAAATTATTAAGGCCCCGAAATTACTCACGGAAAATGCAGATCTTGAGCCCTGGCCTGGAGCACAGGTTGGGGCTGCGCGGGGTGGTGTTTCGGGGGGCCGCTCATGCTGAACCGTCGAACTATGGTGGCCCTAAATAAATACCAATACTAGGATGGGGGTTCCTTATTATAATTATAGTATAATGGGCCCCGAAACCCTATTCTAATTATTAAGGCCTCTATATTAGTTTCGCGAGTCGGGTTGACATACCGATCTATCCTAGTGCAGGTTGAGGTCAGTCGTTGCTGCTTATGACGCCTTCTGACCTCCCAGGAACTGCAAGAAACCATAAAACCCGAAACCCCTAAACCCTAAGCCCCTAAACCCTAAACCCCTAAACCCTAAACCATGAGAAACCCTGAACCCTAACTCCTCACCACCAAAGCCCAAGCCCTTACTCGCAAAGCCCGGAAACCGGTCAACATGGCCAGTAAGTTTCATTTGATCTGTTGTTAAGCCTTAAAGCCTATCTAAAGCTTAAAACCTGAGCCTGTTCTTTGAGCAAAACCCTAAACCCTGAACCCTAAACCCAAAACCCTGAACCTCAATCCCTAAACCCTATATAAAAAAAACTAAGGCGACAGCTCTGCCGCGTGGGCTTCTCGAAGCAGGGCTCCTCCCTCTTCCTCGGGGAGACGGCCGCCCGGCAGTTCCAGGTGCTTTGTGGGTTTAGGGTTTTGGGTTTTGGGTTTGGGGGTGCTTCCCAGAGAACCCAATGCCTCTGAATTAAGGAATAAACCTTAAATCATAATATTAAGGCTCCTATAATTTAAGGTATATTCCTTAGTTAAGGAATAGACCTTAAATCATAATATTAAGGCTCCTATAATTCAAAGGTATATTCCTTGATTAAGGAATCTACCTTAAATCATAATATTAAGGCTCCTATAATTTAAGGTTTATTCCTTAGTTAAGGGGTATCGGGCTTCGCAGGGGTTCAGGGTCGAGCGTTAGGGTTTAGCCAGGCGCGACATGCAAGCCTGATGTAAAAAGGGTTAGGGTTTAGGGCTCTAGGGGTGCATTCTAGGCGCGAGTACACAGTTTTGGAGATGCCGACTGGCCTGAGTAGTTTTGAGGCAGGAGAGCTTGCCACAAGGGATCGGTAGATGCATCTACAGTGTCTACAGCACCTAAAGTAGCTATACATATATATATATATACACACATATGTTCTTTGTATATATATATATATATGTATATAGCATGCCCCTGAAGCGCACCCAACCTGCCTGGGTCCTACGGTGTTCTTCCCAAACCGGAGGAGGCTTTCAGCCTCAACACCCCAACCCCTGGGTCCTTTCTTCCTGGACCATGGTTGACTATACCCCATAATTAATGTATAGGGGCCTTAATAACTAGAATAGGGTTCTTTGGTATATTTCACTATAGTTATGAGAGAGAGAGAGAGAGAGAGAGAGGGAGAGCGAGGGAAGGAATAATGTCATTTCCATTCTCCTGCTGTTCCTGGAGAACAACCGAGGAAGACTCTGTTTGCTTCGACGCAGACGGCTGCTTCCTCTTCAATAAGCAGAAGAGCTTCCGGACCGCACCAACAGGGAAAGGCTCCATAACATCACACCCCCAACTCCCGAAACTGAAAGTTTGTGCGTAAAAGCCTAATACTGGCAATGCACGGATCTACGATTGATCAGAAGGTCGCAGCAACCTAAAACTACTGAAACCTGCCCTGCAGAAGTACGAAGTTCGAAAACGTATTGTGTTGATTCGGGCTTCCAGGCTCCTTAACCCTAAACTCAGAGTGAGGGTTTAGGTTTTAGGGTTCCTAAACCCAAAACCCCCAAACCCTGAAGGGCAAGTTAACCAACAATCAATGTCACGCCGACCTGCGACTATGGAACCTCGCCTGGCTTGTCCGAGTTGTGAGAGCGTAAACTCTGAAATCCACAACCTCCACCGAGACTCCGTCGCGGAGCGCTTCGTCCGCGACCATGTGTGGGGCGTGCTGCTGAACTTGGACCCAGCGCTTGGACTCAATGGCTTGAGGTTTGGAGTTTAGGGTCCCGTGGTTATACGCTGTTACTTTTGTTGCTCATTTTGGCTAGTTGGTATGATTGTCACGGTCAATGTTTATTTGGAGGATGTTCAGGTTTTGTGACGCATGTGCTCCGTGTCCCTTGCAGGAAAGCATCCTCACAATCCAAGTGCACTTCTGTTGATTCGGGTGCCGTGCCCTCTTGGCACGTCCTCTCAAACGTGCTGCAGTGAGCCAAAATTCCAACATAGGGGCCTAAATAACTACCAATACTGTTTTGGTGCTTCCTTATTACCGTTATAGTATAGTATATCCCCAAACCCTACTCTAATTATTAAGGCCCCCACACCCCAAACCCTGATAGCAGCCCTTATAGAACCCTCAAACGGGACACCCAAAAACCTTCTTCTATTTATGAAGGCCGCTTATTTAGAGCCCTATCATAGATCCCTTATAGAACCCTTAAAGAAACCCTCTTCTAATTATAAGGCCCCTATATTACACGCCAGCGTGGCCTTGGCGTGCCATGCCCTGCGGGTCCCAAGCAGAGGGCCCCGCGGAGGATGTCGTCAGGATGACCGAACTATCGAGATCCAGTTTAGGGGTTTAGGGGTTTAGGGTTTAGGCTTTAGGGTTTAGGGGTTTAGGGTTTAGGGGGTTTAGGGGGTTTAGGGGTTAGGGGTTGGGGCTAAGGTCGTGTCTTGTCAAGTAGTCCCAGATCAGTAGTTGCAGACAGTGCAACACGCCTCGCGTGCTCAGCCGTAAGCGCTGGCGTATGGAGCTTGGCTGAAGGGACTTAGGACTTAGTGCATTGCAGTCCCTGCTCAAAAAACTTGAGAAGGAATCGTGTAATCTTTGGGTGTATGCTTAAACTTAAAAAGTAAAAAGAAGAAACTCAAAACGACAACACATAGATATGAACGCGGCGCCCGGCAACAAGAGCTCCGGGCTGTCACACTGACGGAGAAAGTGTTCAACATGCCTCCTCAAACCATACGGAGAGCCCTTCTATAGTCGATAGTTCTTTCGAAAAGCATCAGTCTTTTGAGTAATTTCTCCGCCAAGCCCTTAATTTAATATACCTTGTACTTATGATATGTGAAGGATCCCTTCTTAGCTAAGCTGTCTTCCTTCAGATCTCAGGCCTTTAACATGAACCCTGAGAGTCCAAGAAGCCAAAGCCAAGGCCAGCCCCAACTGCAACACGGTCAGCCTGTTCAAGGATGGGCGCAGGGCACCTTGGCGGGGCTGGCATTGAGATTTTCAACTTTGAACATAGGCCATCCAGGTTGTAAATAGGGTGTTCGGGTTTAGGGTTTAGAGTTTAGGCTTTGGGGTTCACTCTCCCGGACGGCAAGTTAGAACCCCCCGTGTCGCCACAAAATTATAGATAGGACTTTCGGGTATCAGGTCAGAGTTCCCAGAGTGTACTTTGTGCATTGTGTTTCCCGAAGAGCCTGCGGAAAACAACACCCTCCTTTACCCGAGGTATGCAAGCCGCAGCCGTTGCCAGAGCAGCTGAAAGGGCACGCGCTCTTCCCACATGTGTCCTTCCGGAACGTCACTCTTCAGGTGGGCGTTGAAATATAGGGTTGGAAGAGCCAGGTTACATGACTTCTTAGGCTTCCTCATTTGGTCATGCTAGGGTATACCCCAAACCATCATTACAATCTTGACGCCCGCCCCAATGCAGCAAGACAATACGGCTAGTGATACTTTCGTGTCCCAATGCTACAGCCCTAGACCCTAAACTCCAACTATGCCGCACTTATCCTTGACAAAACCCGACAATCCGGACGCCCTGAAGCCTCAACCCTAAGTAGAAGCATTAAGAAACTGAAATCCTTGAATCCCCGCACCCTAAACCTCATCTAGAAGCCCTAAACCTCAAATCCTCAACCCTAAACCCTACAACCCTACAGCCCTAATCCCTAAAAACCTAAAACCCTAGCAACCTTAAACCCTAGAAACCCTAAACCCTAAAGCCCCTAAACTCTAAAGCCCTAAACCTTAAGAGACCCTAAGGCCTCAAAGCGCCGAGCCGCAAGTTCGCAAAGCCCCAGCAGGTGCACTTTGGGCCCATGCTGATGTCGCCCTTGTCCTTCAAATGCCGTTCCATTCAGGCGACTTCTGGGTGCTAAGGTCGTAAAGCTTTGGGGGGGTTGGGGCTGAAGGGTGTGGGTAAGTTTTGCGGTTTTGGGGCTTGGGTGGTTTGAGGAAGTTACAGGACTGAGGGTTTGGGGAAGTCGAGGGTCGGGTTTTTCGGTTCTTGGAGGGCAGGGCTGCCGGACACTTTGACTCTTAGCATCGAAGGAGGCCCCGGGAATTCCCTAAACCCTCAACCCTAAACCCCTAAACCCTAAACCCCCAAAGCCCTAAACCCCTAAACCCTAAACCCCTAAAGCCCTAAACCCCTAAACCCAACATCTGAAACACAGAGACAACCCGTTGACCCCCGAAGCCTCAGCCCTGAACCCTAAACACTGATTTACACCCTGCAACGCGAACGCAGGCATCGCCCTTACTAAGTAGGTTGCAAGGTTGCACAACATTCACTGCAAGCAACGAAAGAAATTCTAAAGAAAACCTACCCTAAACCCGAAACCCTTAACCCTAAACCCCTAAACCCTAAACCATTTATCTTTGGATCCCCAAAGCCTCCAAACCCCCGCATGGGTCCCTGTGCAAGCCGCCCCACGCCTTCTCCTTCGTTTTTTGGTTTGAAGGGTTCAGGGTGCAAGGTTCATGGGTCAGGGTTTGGCGGATACCCCCCCCTCCATCCGAGTTGACAAGTTGCGGGATCTCTAAACCCACTAGAGCGGGAATGACATGATGCCATAAGAAGGCGAAGCATCTGGAATCTGGATGGGGCCAGCTTGTCCTAATTTATTGGCAGGCTTCGTGTTTCCATGGGTTTCGCTTGGTTTCGGCGATTCGGGTTTCAGGTTCGGTGGCTGCGAAAGGTGAAAAACACGGTGCATGCTTTGCCACAAGAGATGACGTCTGTGTGTCGCTGAAGGGATCCAGAGCTTAGTGTATTGCAAGGCTTTTCTGGGTTGTAAACCCAAACAGCCCTAAGTCCAAGCCGAAACGGAGGAGGCTGCTGCGGAAGATGCCGTGGTGGCTCCGTCCAGCTATTCTCAGGTCGTGGAGGGGTAGGGTAGGGGTCCATTAGGAGTTTAGGGTCCAGGGATGTACGGTTTTTGTGCTAGCTTTGCAAATTCAGGGTTTTGGGGTTTCTAGGGCAACCCTGCACCCTAGATGCTGAACCCTTTGCTCCGAACCCCAAAACCCCAAGCCCCCAGAGACGTGGCTTTTGGGATGTAACCTTGGGGCCTTTCAACATGGGTTCAAGGATGTTCAGGGTTGAGGGCACAAGATGATTCGAGGTCAAGGTCTGGTTAGCAGTTTGGGCTTAGGGTATAGGGTTTAGGGTGTGGCACCAGCACCGACGACTTCAAACCTTAATGCAGACCCCTGACTGAAGAAACCCTTGTGTTCAACGGCCGCTCCCTCAGCATCACCATTTATAAACCTTGTCGGGAAAGACGGACTGTAGCCAAGACAGCCAGTACATAGCAGCAAGCTTTTTCAGGTATTGGCTCCAAACCCTGGTCTAAGTTTTGAAATCCTACAGGCCCCGCCAGCAAACCTCGATTCGTAAAGCCTAAAACCCTCTACCCCAAACCCATCCAAAACCCCAACCAAACCCTCACACCTCCCTAGCACCCCGTCCCCCCAACTACCCTCTTCTATACCCTAAACTTCCCACGAATATGACCATATAAGGGCTCTATTAAAGCTGCCCTTTCTTGGGTGCCCGGATCTGACCTAAACCCTAAACCCTATAAACCCTTGGCAGGATGGGAAGTTTGAGGTGATCTTCCCCGTCTCCTTGCCGGACGAAGGCCGGCGGCCGGAGTCCTCTGGTAAGGGCTCATGCGGTTTATGGGTTTAGGGTTTAGGGTTTTGGGTTTTGGGGTTTAGGGTTTAGGGTTTAGTGCAGTTCGGTGTGGGTGAAGTTTTTATTTCTTGGTTGGATAGATTTGAGGGCATGCAAACCTTCCACCGTGCTGGCTCTCCTCAAGAAGTATGTCGCCTGTGGTTCTGTTGGCTGCAGTTTGAGTTTGATGGACTTCTTTTGGAGATATACCTCCATGCGGATCATGTGCTAGCGTATTACCCGGATCTTTTGTGCTATTCACCAACATGCTTATGACAAGTTCGGACTAGTGTGCCTTTTCAGTCAAGTTCCTCAGTCGCATGCTCGGAAGCTGGAAGCGCTGTCACGAGCACAGTGTTAGTCGGCGGACGAGTGGCTAACTACCTGGCGTTCTTGCTTGCAAGCCTGCTGCAAAATGGGGTTTAGGGCCAGGGAAAGGGCACATAGTGCCTTTAACCCTACAGCCCTAAACCCAAAACCCTAAAGGTTAGAACCCTAAACCCCAAGGTTAGACTTCAGATCCCTGGGAGACTGCGCAAGTGAGAGTAGACACAGAGCGAGCATGTCAAGCTTTCTGGCAGAGGTTCCCTGGTTATCAGGGGGTCTAAAAGCCGCCCTAATTTAGAGAACTACCCACATTAATTCGAAATCCACATAAAGCCTCAAAGAAGTTTCAAGCTTATAGCCCCTTTGCGAAGCCTCCACGAACTCTGAAACCCCTAAACCCTAAACCCTCACCCCGTAAACCCTAAACCCTAAACCCTAAAACCCTGAGCCCTACACCCTAAACCCTAAAACCCTAAACCCTAAACCCCTAAGCCCGTGATTCCGCAAGTCACACGTCTATGAAGCTTCAAGACCTCTGAAAGCCGACACCCTTAACCCGTAATTCCCTAAACCCTAAAAGGTTTAGGGTTCAGGGCCTTGGGTTTAGGGTTTAGGGTTTAAGGTTTAGGGCCTTGAGTTTAGGGTTTAGGGCCTCGGGTTTAGGGTTTAGGGTCTAAAGCCTATAGGGGAACTTAAACCCTAAACCCTAAACCCTAAACCCTAAACCCTAAACCCTTTGAACAGGCACCTTTGACTGGCTAACAGACTTCCTGGAGCAGCACCCGGGTTATGTGGAGATCAGCGCCCCTCGGCCCTGGCCCTGCCTTCTTTCTTCATTATCTAGGGTTCAGCGCTATTAGGGTTTGGGTTTAGGGTTTGGGGGTTTAGGGTTTAGGGTGTTAGGGTTTAGGGTTTAGGGCTTAGGGGTTTAGGCTATTAGGGTTCGGGTTTAGGGTTTAGGGGTTTGGGGTTTTAGGGTTACGCAGACAGCCGGAAGGGTCTGCAGAATAAGACCCAACCCCGCCCCCCCTCCCCCGAGACAAAAAAGGCGGACCTCAGTCCGGATAGTGGTAGGATAACTTTGCTTTAGATCCTTTGAGAGGTTTGGGTTGGGTACGTTTGTGTCAAGACCAGCGGGGGGCAATATTTCATGAATCCCGACCCGAAAACCCTTCAACCCTAGGCCTTGAAACCCTTAACCCCTAAACCCGTCGTTGTCTTCTAGCCCGAGGACCGGAAGATCGTGGAGTGGGCCACCATGAGCGGCCTAGGGAAGCCCAGGACGTGAAGCCACAAGAAATGTTCCTGCCGAGTCTCATAAAGCTTTATAGGGTTGTTTTTGGGTCTTAATATGGCATAAGCCCTATGGGGCTCTACTGAGGTTTTTGGAGTTTTCAAATGTGGTCTTTACAGGTTTTGTTGGGTGGGTTTAGGCTTTAGTTTCGGGCTTGGGCTTAGGGTTCAGGTTGGCGACTTTCCCGGCCGACTTCCCAAGCCCGGATGCAAAAAAGGGTTTAGGTTATTGTGTGTTTTTTGTCAGGGCTCGATATTGGGGGTGTAACAGTCCCTGAGGTTACGGGGTTCTGTAGGCCCTATAAAAACTTATAGAGTTCTATGGGGTCTGACGGTTTATAAGGCATATTGAAGGGGCCTGCTACAAGGATTTCATAAGGGTGTGGCAGGTTACATCCTCTTCTAAAGGTTCTAGGGGCGTACGAAGAGGATCTAAGCCGGGTCTCCGCAAATTGGTCTCGAGGTTCGGGCACCCACGCATATAAGTGTACATATGTATGTATGTATGTATGTATGTATGTATGTATGTATGTATCCATGTATGTCTATATATATATATATATGTATAGTTGTTACTACTATTAAGGATGCCCAAACTCACTGTAAGAGGGATTCGACCCTGAGCCCAGCCGCAGCCTACGCCCCAATTTTTTGCCTTGACACCGCTACACTTTTTTCGATTTCCCGACCCAAGATGCTAAAGAGTCCTGCTGTAATGTAGGGGCTTAAATAATTACCTATACTATTTTGGGGGTTGCTTATTACAACTATAGTATATTTGGCCCCAAAACCCTATTCTAATTATCAAGGCAAGTACAGTAGCATCCTCAATATAGCTTTCACAGAACCCTTCATGAAAACGTTTGAGAGAGGATAACTTCCTTGAAGAACTGCAACGACAAGCCCGATGTGAACTTCGGCATTCAGGCAGCCCGGCAATCGTCGAGATTCCGTTGGTTTCGATCGCACTTGACGGGCTTAGGACAAGTTCAGGGCTTAGGGTATGTAGGATTTACCGTTTAGGATCTAGGATTTCGGGTTTGCTTTTCTGGCAATTTCATGGAGCCCAGATGCAAAAAGTTAACAGGGTTTAGTGATGATAAGTGTTACGTTTTATTTGCAAACAGTGTTTAGGATTGTCGGAGACGGGTGCATGGCTAGTTGTTCACAAATCCATGGTAGCTTAATTCGGGCGCCGGCAAGTCTACAGTTTACGAAGGCTTACCTTTTTTTTTAAGGCTTACCTTCCTTTCCGCAACTACCCGCAAGCTTCCAGGAACTGATCATCTCTACACCCTAAACCCTCTCGCGGTGTGGGGATCGAGCCTTGGGCCAGGTGGGCGTCGATTTTTGGGAATACTGAACAAAAGGACGACCGTCGATCCTTACCGCCGACAGCCGTGAACGAGGTCAACTAAGCTTAACCCCCGAAAGCCTACAGCCCGGAGCCCTAAACTAAAAAGTGCGACAAGCCCTACCGCAAGCCCGAAGCCATCGGCCCCCAAACCAAAACCTCAACCCGTAAGCTCAGGCTCAGCCCTTCATACATTAGTCATGACTATTCCCAGGGTTGCTTATTGTAACTATAGCATAATGTGGTCAGGAATCGATACCAACCCTTATAGTCTTCATATTGTATTCATTGCAGGTCCCTTTCGAAAGGAATCCTATCCAGGGTTCAGGGTTCAAGACTTAAGCCCTCTTAAAGCCGGCTAAAGCTCTAGCAAGCCCTTTCCAACCCCCGGTAAAGCTTTAGCAACGAACCCTGTAAATCCGTCCTTATGTTTCAACCCCTGCAAACCCCCCAAATTCTCCAATGCAATCCCAATCAAACCCACTCAAAACCCATACAAGCCAAGAGCCTAAACCCTAAACCTGCACATAACTCCCTATCACACCCCACATAAGAAAGCTCGTGGAAGCTGTGAGGTCATCGATGAGCTTTCGCCTCGCCCCTCGGCTTTAAGTCAAGTACCTTCAAGGTGGTTGGGGTTTAAGTCCCCTAAACCCTATAAACCCTAAACCGAGGCTTAAGGCTCAAGGGTTTTGTCAAGGTCGAAGGATGCGAAAGGCTTCAGCGTTTGAGGCATTGAAGGGTTTAAAGGTTTATACAGAGAACCCTAAACGTCAGAGTTTTTTGGTTTAGGGTTTGGGGTCCAGGGTCTCAGGGGGAGGTCATCAAGTCCGGTTTCAAAAGGGTCTCAGGGGTCTAGATTCTAGATGGACACCTCGAACGGGATACGGCAAGGCCTGCCGTAAGTTTTTTTTTTCGTCAGGGTTCTTTAAGGGTTTTTAGGGTTGTGAGGGTTTCTAGTCTGGGATTAGGGCTTCAGGTTTTGGGGCTAACGTTTTCGGGCCTCGGCTGAAGGACGGCAGAAGAGGCAATGCCGGCAGTCATCAAGTCCGGTTTCAAAAAGGTTTGGGGGGGTTTCAGGGGTCGGCTTCGGGCTGCATTCAGGGCAGGTCCCTATACTTTGCGAAGTATTCTGCTGTAACGCGGGTATGTAATTTGTGTTGGATCCCTTTGCGTGCAGAGTCCACAGACTTTGTGGTTTCTATATTTATATTGTACTATGTGAGACGGACCATCTGGCTCGGGACGATTGCAGCGTCTTTATTTGCTAGAGCTTGAAGGGTTGAACATCCTTAAATCCTCCAGTCGCACAGCCCGCTACTCAAACAAGGCTTTCAGCTTGCTTTTTGGAAGGCGAGCCTGCAGCAATGCTTGTTTCTTTTTTGCACACGAAGTTGCATTCTGAGAGCTTTCTGGTAGCGATAAAGTTGTTGTGAAGCCTGTACTGGGTTCTTGCTAAGGAATGTTGTATCTAAATTACCCGGACAGCGATCTATAGTAAATGATACAGTATGGTTTCCTTATTATGGCAACCTACCCTATTTCTCTAGGCAAGAACCCGGTGTGTGTAAGGCCACTCACTTGCATTCCTATCCCTCTAGGCTGCCTAGATGCTAGACGTCAAAGTGCTTTCGGACATACCAGACAAACCTCGCCAGGCGTGTTCCCAGTTGTGAGTGCAGAAAACCATAAAACACTAAACCCTAAACCCCTTTTTTTGAAGCCTAAATCCTAAACCCCTAACCCCCCTAAACCCCGAACCCCTAAACCCCGAAGCCCTGAGCCTTCCGACATTCAGAAGCCCACCCTGAACGAACCCTAAACTCGCACAACTCTCCCGCCATCCTTCCCAGAGAGCCCAATACCCCTTAATTAAGGAATAGACATTACATCATAATATGAAGGCCCCTATAGTTTAAGGTATATTCTTTATTTAAGGGGTATTGGGCTCTCTGGGTTCTCGTGGCAAAGGACGGCTTGTTTACGCTGTGGCGCCACTTGTACCGCGAAACTACGTTGTGATGGAGGCGAGTGTCTATATATACCCCACAGCCTTCTTCCAGTTATTGCCTTTGCTTGGTCGACTTGTTTTGAGCTTCCCGGGTGTGTGAAGTTTGGACTCCCCACACCCCATACTCTAAACCCTAGACCCTATACCCT